AGGCTAACTACACTTTTATACAACCGGCTTAACTACGTGATTAAAGTTAACTATTTTTTAAGGCTTTTTAACTACTTTTTAACTGCAGTTAGCGCTAACTACGTTTTTATACAACCGGCCCCTGGTATTCATATCTTAACCCTGTCGGAGACATGGCTCGCAGAAAACATCTCGGACGCAGAAATTGAGATCGCAGGGTATCGAACATTTCGGAAGGACAGATGTTCTAAAGGGGGCGGAATTGTGGCACATGTAAGAAATGATCTGGCAGTGGTGAGAAGGACGGACTTGGAAACTGCCGATGTCGAAGGTTTATGGCTTGAGATAAGTTTGCCTAAATCTCATGGCTTTCTCGTTGGGGTATTCTACACGCCGCCTGACTCTTCAGATTATCACGATTGTGAGTTTATGCCTAAGTTTGATGCAATGTTGGATCTGGCGATCGAACATTAAGGTAGGGAAGTAATCATAACTGGTGATTTCAACTGTGATTTCCTCCCAGTCAACTTAAAAAGGCTAGGAAATCTAATTCAAATGAAGATTGGGCAACATACCGTAGGACTAGAAATAAAGTAACAAACAGAATCCGATCAGCGAAAGAAAAATATCATAGGAATCTTATTTATGACAATAGTCATAACCCACGATCGTTTTGGAAAACTATGAAAAAGGTCTTTCCTGTGGAGAGTAAACATGTGGCGACTAAGGCATTGATTGATGGAAAACTGAGTAAAGATAAACAACAAATTGCTAACGCATTTGGTGTATACTTTAATGAAACAGTATCGCGGCTGCACCAATCGTTTAGTAATCTTTGTAACAACATCGGAAATATTACATCGCAGTGTTTTTTCAATCGTTTAAACAGTGGTTTTGTATATAAATTCGAGGAAGTGAAAGAGCAGTTTATTCTAAATAATTTGCATAAAATTGATGTTAAGAAAGCAGCTGGATTAGATAATATACCACCACGACTTCTGAAAGACTCTGCTAATGTTATTGCCAGACCACTCACAAAGATCATTAACGTATCCCTCGAACAAGGAACAGTGCCTGATGATTTAAAACTTGCTAAGGTAATTCCTGTTTTTAAGAAAGGAAAACCCGAAAATATTCCCACAGTGTCTAAGCTATTAGAGAAAGCAGTCCATGAGCAGTGGTATAGATTTTTAACAACGAATCATCTCTTGAATCCTTACCAGTGTGGTTTCCGTAAATATCACTCAACGGAAACTGCGGTTATTTCTCTCACAGACTCTATTCGAAGGAACATTGACCAAAAGATGCTTACAGGAGCCATATTTGTAGACCTTAGGAAGGCGTTTGACACCGTAGACCACTCCCTACTTTTGGCCAAGTTGGAGAGTTACGGCGTAGTTGAAAGTGAACTTGAGTGGTTTAGTAGTTACCTTAACGATCGATCGCAAATAGTTACCTTTCAGAATATGCAATTAATCATTGCCATGTAATATTTCGTCTGGAGTACCACAGGGGTCTATTTTAGGGCCCCTACTGTTCGTTCTGTTTATTAATGATCTTCCAGCAGCTGTTCAACAATGCAATGTTCTGATGTATGCCGATGACACGGTACTTTTCTTCGCAGACAGGGACAGTGGTGTAATACAGAATGTGTTAACAACCGAGCTGGAAAATTTGAGAGCTTGGCTGATGGAAAACAAACTGTCTCTTAATAGGAAAAAAAACAGAGACGATGTTGTTTGGAACTAATGCAAACTTATCAAAGGTAACTAATTATGAGCTCTCAATTGATGGCTTTCCATTGAAGCGTGTAACTGATTATTGTTACCTTGGTATTACTTTAAATGCAAATTTGTCTTGGCATTCACATGTTGATAATGTAGCAATGAAAGTGGGAAGAAGAATTGGCATGTTACGTCGACTACGGAACAACCTGACCCTAAATGCGGCGGAAACGGTTTATAAGTCGTTCATTCGCCCTCTTATGGAGTATGGGGACAGTATTTGGACGTGCTGTGGTGAGCAAAACAAAGGAAGGCTCGAGATACTCCAAAAGCGTGCTGCCAGAATGATTTCCAGGTGCGCGCGAAGTGATGACGCAATGGAAAGCCTCAGATGGGACAGCTTAGAATCAAGAAGAGACGTACATGTTCTCAAACTTGTTAAAAATTGTATTCTAGGGAAATGTCCACAATGTTTTAATAATTATTTCGTTTTTAATCGTGACAGTTCCTCGCGAATAACAAGACAATCAGACAAACTTCGTTTGCCTAAAGTAAGAACTGAATGTGCAAAGAATTCTTTTTATTATTATGGATGCAAGGTTTTTAATAAGTCTAATTAAGTCGATCGGGACATATAGATAGTTAGTTTATTGTAGGGGTTTTAGATAATTTTATACTATTTTAGATAAAACTGTATTGTAGATATACTGTATATTTTTCAGGGCCCCTAAGGATAACAGTGAACATTCACTGATTGGGTCACCCTGTGTAAATAAAGTTTTTACATACATGTAGCACAAGTAAAATTGCCAAAATTAATCCTTAAAAGGTTTTCTGGGGATCCTAGTCAATGGAACCCATTCTGGGATACATTTGAAGCCTCTATCCACAACAATCCCTCCTTAGCACCGATTGATAAATTCAATTATCTCAAGTCTTTCATGGACGGAGCTGCTGCTGAATCCATTGCTGGATTGTCCTTTACTAATGCTAATTATGAAGAGGCAATTGTTATTTTGAAATCAAGGTTTGGGAATAAACAGGATATTCTGTTAAATCTGGATATGGATATTCTGTTAAATCTTCCATCAGTTAATTCTGAAAACAACCTGAAGGGTTTGCGCCAACTTCATGATACGGTGCAATCACACATCAGAAGCTTGAAATCTATGGGAGTAGCCCCTGAATCTTATGGTAGCCTTCTTTCTTCGATGTTAATGTCCAAGCTACCAACAAATCTACAGCTGGTTGATAGCAGAGTGGTTAAGGAAAACGAATGGAATTTGGACAAAGTATTAAATACCTTGCAGCAAGAGTTAGAAGCCAGGGAGAGAATTAAGGTACCTGCAACCAACAAGGATTTTAAGAAATATCACGGTTCAGCCTCAGCATTGATGGCCGGTAATAATCCAAGTTGTACTTACTGCAGGGGGTCCCACCCATCAAAGGACTGTACAACTGTGACTAGTCCTGCTGCTCGTCAAGATATTTTACGGAAGACGGGGAGATGTTTTGTGTGCCTAAGAAAGGATCATATCAGTCCAAGTTGCAAATCAACAACACGGTGCTACTCGTGTAAGGGGCGACATCATGTTAGCATATGTAAGGGTAAGGAGCCACCACCACCACCTCCTAGGGACCCTCCTGAGGAACATGGGCAAAGCGGATCCAACAAGCCAAAGGAAAGTCCTAGTTTGGGAACCCATCCTGACGCAACCGTCTGTCACACAACCTCATCGAACTGTGTCCTTCTCCAAACCGCAAGAGCAAATATATATAACCCAGATAATCCTGATGGTCCCAAGGTCAAAGCGAGACTAATCCTGGATGGCGGCAGTCAGTGCTCGTACGTCAGCAGTGCACTGACAGGAACTCTCGGACTGCAGTCAAAGTGTCAAAGGTCGGTAAACATAAAAACATTTGGCTCTAGCGAGACTAATGCTCAAGTTATTGATGTGGTGAATCTTGGAATAGAAACTGCCTATGGAGCAAACATTGAAATGTTAGCATTTACTGTGCCAGTAATTTGTCAGCCATTAAAGAACCAATTCGTGTCAAATGCTAGCAAGACCTACCCTCATCTCGCCAACCTCCACCTGGGCAACACGATGCGAAAGTGGATATCCTGATCGGTTCAGATCATTACTGGAAGATTGTGACCGGGAAAACCAGACAAGGAGATAGTGGTCCGACTGCCATTCAAACGGGGCTTGGTTGGGTTCTCTCTGGGCCTGTTGGAAACGAACCGAGGCAATTAACCCACACCAGCAATCTTGCTACAATCCACACCCTCAAATGTGCCTCCGAAGAAGTTGAGTGTAAGAATGATGTCCTTGTACAAGAACTGAAGAGATTTTGGGACTTATAAACTCTCGGTATTCAACCACAGTGTGTGTACGAAGAATTCCTAGAAAGCATTAAGCATGAAAATAATCATTATGTGGTCAATTTGCCATGGAAACCTGATCATGCTGAACTGCCTGATAACTATGATCTTAGCAAGAAACGTCTATTAGGGTTGATGAAGCGACTGCGTAATGAGCCAGAAGTCCTTAAGGAATATGACAATGTGATAAGAGATCAGCTTAACAAAGGAATCGTGGAGTCTGTGCCCGAACCAAATAAAGGAGCCAAGAGAGTGCACTATTTACCTCATCACGCAGTTATCCGTCGAGATAAGGAAACAACCAAATTGCGAGTAGTGTACGACGCCTCGGCGAAGTCAAGAGGACCTTCGCTTAATGACTGTCTGTATAGTGGTCCCTCGCTGACTCAGAACATTGTTGACATCATCCTAAGGTTCCGTGCATACAAGGTGGCCTTAACGGGAGATATCGAGAAAGCCTTTCTCATGATTCATGTAGCAGAGTCTGTTAGGGATGCATTGAGATTTCTGTGGTTCGATGATATACACAGCCCAAACCCTAAGATTATCCCACCTCGATTCACCAGAGTAGTATTTGGCGTATCCTCCAGTCCTTTTCTACTAAACGCCACAGTCAAACACCACATCGAACAATACCGGGAAGATGACCCTAGTTTCGTGGAAGCTGTTCTGAATTCGATCTATGTGGATGATCTTATATCCGGAGGTGAAAATG